CTCATTTCGGCCGAAGACAGACGCCAGCCCATTTGGTATGGTTGTCAGGCCAGGCCAAACTTCATGAACCCGATCAAATAGGTAGACCCCGCAGTCCAAGTGAACAACGGGTGGCATCTTTGTCCTCGCAAGCAACTTCGACGGCAGGTCTGGCAGAGGCTGGTAGGAAGCCGAGCGTGAACGTGTCACATCTGTTGTTGCCAGCACGCCGTAGTCAAATTTTAGCCAACCTGTCATGCTCTACTTCCACCGTCCTACTACCAGATAAAGCGTTAAACTCGGAGGACAAGAGTCCTAGCGATGTCATTAAATGTTCCCCGAACAAACTGGAAGGCCAGGTATGTTCACAGCCCTTTACGAGATCAGTAAGACGGACAGCTGGGGACGACATTCGACGTAGGCCACAGAAAAATAGGCATCCCGTTAATGGTCCTTCCAACCCAAACCCAAACCTAAGCCAGCCAAAAGAGCCAAATCGGTGTTTAGACGGCCAGCTTCCTGTGGAATCAAATTCCTCTGAATTGTCTGCCTTTACACGAACAGACATGGTTACAGCCACTTCATATAATCAGTTTGATCAGACGAAGAATCTTGACATCCAAGATGCAAGTAAGTACCTGAAAGAAGTGTTCATAGACAATATTTCGATCTTCTAAATACTAGGCATGAAGACCAAGACTTACCAGTTTAAGTAAGTACTAAAGCACTAGTACTCACATACGAAGATCATCCAGATATTGATGAGGGAATAAACCAAAGCTAAAGTCCAGTTATAGAACTATTTGTGCTACTAATAATTAGTGTATTTTTCGAATTAAGTATTGTATTAGTGACTACCAGTAAAACAGTAATATGAGATGTGTGTATGAGATGAGTAATTAGTTCATATTTGAAATTTAGCAACAGGTTTTATGGAAAGGAGAATAGACTTGCAATTGGATATCGCTTGATTCACATGTTGGCCAATAATTCTATGTAAACAATGGAAGAACACCTCAAGGAAGGAGTAAGATTGACATAAATATTGTTAGTTAAATATAGAGAGAAATATCTGGTTATGAATGTTAAGACAATTTCTTGTTCTCGAGTAAACAGCGTGATAGTATGATTTATTTCATGTACAAAGAAGCGTTGGGTTTGAGGAATCTCCTTCACTTCCATTTTGAGTGAAAGTGTTCTTTGAAAAGATTAGACGGTGGATCCCACCAAAATGCGACGGAGGATTACGTCTTACCAACTGCCGATTGGCTGTTACCGAGGCGATCTCCTTCGAATATTATAAAAAAGAAGTCATTCTTCGTTTTGATCAGGCGATTATTCCAAAATATCTTCTCATTTGAATAAAATTTATAAGCAATAGAACCAAGATGATCTGTTTGAATTGAAGACAGATAAAAATCGTGTATTAGTCGAGTAATGTTTATGTAAGCCAGGGATAAATTGAGAAATCTAAAATGAATTCACTTCTTCAAAGGGGCGCTAGAGAACCTTCAGTTTACGGCCTTCCAAAGCTACACAAGGAGAGAGTACCTTTAAGATTGCTTGTTACTGATAAGGAAATTGTGATGCATAGGAGCTCATTACTCTTATGCATAAAATTAAGAAAAATGACTAAGTATTGAGAATCTTCTGTTAAGTTGGTAGATCAACATACTATTAAAGAGAAGGACGTTTTGATGAGTTTTGAAGTGATAGCAATGTATATTAACCCTATAGCTCAGGAGGCCACTGAAGAACCAGCCCTCAGCTTTGAACAACACAAAATATAATCGAGGGAGCAAATCTGAGCAAAAGGTCGATCTTAAGACTATGTAATCTATTAATGAGTAGTACATACTTCAACCCTAACCAATGGTTTATGAATGGGTGCAAGGCAAGACAATTGAATCTTGTTTGGCAACCAAATTAGCGAATAATTACGTGTCAAGAATGGAGGATGCTTCTTGTATGAGGTGAGATTAACACCAAAATTTTTGGTTATATAAAGGGGTGGCCATTTTGCTGTATGGCAGAATGA